TGGAAAGGCAGCTTGGGCCTCACACTGACCACCCTAGAGGCCTGGCCATTTTCATGCCCAAGGTGAGAAAATACTCAACCTCACGACAATACCAGGGCTCTGAATAAAAACACAACAAGACTGTTTTAAAGAATATATATGCAAATATTTCCAATTCATTTTTACACAGGCTTTCATCTAGTGTCACAACACAATTTCAAGACAGGCATACTTAAGTACTATAATCCCAATATGTTAAGTAAGATTTAAAGCACAGAGTTAAGCCTAGAATTCTGAAGTCCTAATTCCTAATCCAGTCCTTAAGCACTGTAAGATTTTAAAGTACCACCCTATACCATGGTTTTAGTAATTCCACCAGTCAAACCAATTGCCTTCGGTGCAAACGATGCATATAGCACATTCCTTAAGGAAGCCAGAGCTTCCAGCCATTGTGCCTATCAGCATTACACAACAGGCTACTCCGCTTCACAGCAGGCTCGCCAAGGCAAGAGGAAAGCTTGGGGTTTTCAAACCTGTTTGTTTAGTAAACCTTCTTTTGTTCTCCCAATTCAGTGAAGGAGGAAAGAAATATTAAGTCATAAAACTACACCAAATATGAAAAGAGAGGCTCTCACTTCCACAGTAAGATAGCTGTAGATGGGGTCGCTAATATCTGAACGGTCTAAAATAGCATAGAGTTCACAGGCACGGAAAAATATAATACAAGTCATTAGCTATTAATAGAGCCAGCGAGCCCACTGTTGTAATTAAATCATAGTTTAATCTTCTGTATAATCCTCTGAGTTAGTCTTGACATGTTTTCTTGTGGTTAGTTTTGGAGAAACATCTGCTAATGGTAAAATCTGGGGTTCAGAGGGGGGAAAATTATATCCTTCTGGCTGGAATAGAGTCATGTGAGTAAGTCAATGAAAACATTGAACTAATGAAGGTCCAAATCACTGGCTCTTAATTTTTTTTTTTTTTTTTTAAAGAGACAGGGAGACAGGGTCTTCTTACTCTGTCACCCAGGCTGGAGTAGTGGCCTCCTCACAGCTCACTGTAACCTCAAACTCACGGGCTCAAGGGATCCTCCCACTTCAACTGCTCAAGCTTGAGACTATAGGTGCACACCACCACACCCTGTTAATTTTAAAAAAACTTTCTGTACAAGGAGGTTTCATTATGTTGCCCAGGCTGTTCTCAAACTTCTGGCCTCAAGCAATCCTCCCACCTTGGCCTCCCAAAGTGTCAGGATTACAGATGTGAGCCACTGCACCCTGCCTCAAATTCTGTTTTTAAGTCAAAAGAGACTTAAACACAAAAACAAACTAAATTTCTGAAAGCTACTACAATTAAACAAAATATTCTGATTCAAAGTCCCTATATGCTCACGCCAGAAATAAAGAATAGAAATCTAACTTTACCCAATTAGGAAGGAAATAGGTAAGTAACAAGTATTTGTACTGAAAGTATCCCTCTTCTAGACCAGCGTAACACTGAGCTAACAATATCTCCATAATACCTTTAAAGAATGAGAGGCTGATTCAAGCCACAGTCCATAGGGATCAATTTACTGCCAGTCAATTTGCTAAAGACCATTTAGCTAGCTATAGTCAAACCTAGAATCTTTTAAAAAGCCAAATCAGCCCTGAGTATGTGTTGAGCTTTTTCATTATGTTAGTCTTCTACGTGAAGCACTCGACCAATAAATATTCAAATAAATTAACTGTGCCAGTAAAAAGTTTACTGTACTTAGTCATGTGAATGCAGAAATAGTAATTTTAACAATCTGCGCACAATTCCGTGTTACATTGTGCAGGCCCAGTTCAAACCCACTCCTGACACCCTACAGCTATAAATTATCTCTGGAGCTTGAAAGTGAAAGACAGGGCCGGTCTGAAATAGCACAACAGTTGGACAGTTCCAGCTTCAAGAAGACAAACCCTGTGATAACCGAGATACAGAGGAGGAGCCTAATTCACTGTCCAAAAGTGAGGGGGATAACCCTTCCAGAAAACATTCTTCTTTTTTAAAATTTACTCTTGATTGTTATTTCCTAAATATACAATTAAACATTGGAGTGTCAAAAGCAAAGCAGAAAACATAGAAGGCTAAATAACAAGGAACAAGTTGTACTGAAATTATCTGAATGTATAGTAATGTTAAATGATCACAAAGTGGTGTCACCTTCGCGACGGAACAGTCTTGGAGAACAAATAGGGTATCTTCCCCCTTGAAGTCTGAAGTTCTGGGTCCCCTTTCTAGAAGCAGCCCCAGGTGCTTGCAGGGGGCTCTGCCATACACAGAGAGGCCAGGGTGACTGATTCTTCCCTATTTAAGGCTCCTCCTTGGGGACATTTTCTTCATGTAAAGTAGCAGTGCTCAAAGAGCCAGAGCTGGCCCATTCCCCCACAGTAATAAATAACTTAATCACTCAGAACGTTCGAAAACACTGCCCAATGCTGTTAATAAATACGGGACAAATATGCAAGGTTCAAAGATTCATAAACACCTCGTTCCCTTCATACAACCACTTGTTACCTGTGTGTACAAGGATTATGGGGAATTTTTTGCATCTTTTATATTCCTTCACATTAACTGGACACATTATAGTAAATATCTATCATTTCTCCTGTCAAGGGGAAAATATTTAAGCCATTTTCCTTTTTAATTTTCTCACTCATGTGGTTTCAAAGAATGAATAATAAGTTTAACAGCGTCAACCAGGTTAGTGGTCTTCAAAAGGTAACCTTAGTAAAATTTAAATATGTGACTCTTTCTTCCCAGAAGAAATTCTGAAAGAATATTAGTCTAACTTATTTTCAGAAAGAAAAAAATGCTTAAACTTCCTATACTTTAAATGCTTGTCTGTGAAATTGCACTAATTACAATGAAAAGCCACTTTGTGATCATTTAAAATTAATATACATTCAGTGCAGGGATGATTCCAGTGTTTCCACTTCCCCATTCTACCTTATATTACTTTTCATCATTTCAGACACTTATATCTTAAAAGTAGAATATCCTACAAAATTAGGAATTCAAAATAAAAATCCACAGAAGCCACTTAGTTTTAGAAATAGGTCCTCAAGAAGAAAACTATTTACATAATTTTGTGTGAGAACTCAATCCTAAATAAGAAGAGTGGCGTCCAGTCTGGGCGTGGTGGCTCACGCCTGTAATCCCAGAACTCTGGGAGGCTGAGATGCTTGAATCATGATGTCAGGAGTTTGAAATCAGCCTGATCCAGATGGTGAAATCGCATCTCTAATAAAAATACAAAAATTAGCCAGGTGCGATGGTGGGCACCTGTAATCCCAACTACTTGGGAGGCTGAGGCAGGAGAATCACTTGGACCCAGTTGCAGTGAGCAGACATCATGCCACTGCACTCTAGCCTGGGTGACAGAGCAACGACTCTGTCTCCAAAAAGAAAACTGGCGTCCAAAATCACCCAAAAAGCTATAATAAAAATACACAGATTCACACTGTCCAGTCAAAAAGGGTTTCCAATCTAATCATAAATTGTAGTATTCTCAAAACTTCCTATCACTTTGTCCCACCTTTTCCATTTTCAGAAATAAAGTGATAATTCAAATGCGAAACACAGTAGTTGTATACAGTGCAGCGTGTAAAGAGGTCCATTTCTCTTCTGCACATCACCTTTAATACATGCAGGCCGGATATACTCTCCCAGGAGTGGGCGAGCCTGCATCTCCTAACTGCGCTCCGACTTGTCCAGGGCTACTTGTTCAGACACAACCATGCAAGAACACTTCCAGCTCTAACAGACACCACTTTGTGCAAAAACAACCACAGGAGTGTTACAAAAAAGACAGCACCGGTGTTTCAGAAAGCCCGGTGTCAAAAAATTTCGTGCATTTTTAATACGAGAGAGAAAGTGAACAATTGTCCTTCGATAATCAGTGTCAGGGCCAATGGACACGGCTTCCCTTCCTTAGGGTCCACCCAAACTGTGACAATTGGCTTACCAACTGCAGTCCTTAAGGGCTTTCACAACAAAACAAAACAAATCAAAAAAGCTACCCTCCCCCACACAAAAAACACCCAAATATTTGTCTTTTTCTTCTTTTGCCCCTTCCATCAAGTAATGAATAAGAAAAGGAGAAAATGAATGTAACTGTCTGCTCTTCGGTACAGAAAAACATGCAAAGACAGTAACAATTTACACAAAGAGGGGTTTAAATTTTGCCTCTCCTAGACTACATAAATGCAGATGCTTCTCTTCTCTTTGTCAATTAATTAACATTCTGCTATTTAATATTTTAAGTCTTAGCAGTGGGTCACACATTTTGGCTGACTGCTGGGTATGGCCTGAAAATTATCTGTAATAACAATTCTGTAACATTATTCCTCACTTTACCAAATTCCTTACCAATGTTTAATAACAAAACAAAGCAAGATGTCAATGGCATTTATTACTTTAACCCTATGATTTAGTATATAAAACTCTTCCACGGAAGAGGGTACAGAGGAAGGGATGGAAAAGTGGTTTTCTAAGTACTACCAGAGGAGGAGAGGGAAGAACTCTGGTAACATATGAGTAACTTTGGAAGAATCGAGGCAACAATTTAGAATAAAAAATACCATACATAATCTCAAGGAAATGCTGGACATAATTTAGGAAAAATGTCACTGGACACAGAAAACCAAAAAATGAAGACTAAATGTCCCCAAGTTTTTGACATTTAATAAATATGTTTCTCCAGGAACCTGGTGCTTAGTTAATTAGCGAAAGTATATGGACCCAGGCGGTGAAGTTTCTCCCTGGCAGATGGTGCAACAGGCTTCAAAAATAATGGGAAATTTACTTAAAGTTGTCTCCTTGGTTATTGTAACAAATATCTTACCAAAAGATGTCAGAGAAGAAAGGGACTGGCATCAGATGACTCTTGTCTTTGATTTATGATGACAGTGCTAGGTTTTAGCAAGGCAGCAGGGCCTCCCCACACTTCTGGCCTACCAAGCCACAGAAGCCCCCCCCACCCCCACCCCCACCCCCACCCCCTGCATCTCCCCTCATGCAAAGCTCCATTCCCAGGCCAAACAAGGCTATAAAAAGCCTGGCCTTAAGCCAGCTGGCAAGACCACACACTGGGTATTTTTAACTTAAGGGGGCCTGAGGATCAGGCCAACACCAGGGCACCAAAAATGTACAGAGAAGAATAACAACCTCCGGCCAGGATGGTGGTCTACATGGAAGATCCTTTTCCTGAGTTATCCTAATTACTAATGAGTGTTCTAATAATGATGAAGACATTAAAAGATAACATTTGGGAAAGATGATAAAGTGGGTAGATATTTCATTTTGGTAGTGCACGATCACTTTGAAAGACCATATGTAGAGTTCCATAAACAGCAACGTGAACACCAAACAGTGGCCAAACAAACTGAACTCTTATTCTTTATTCCTGACACATAAGGCTACAGACTTGACTTTTGTTATAATTACTCTAACAGTTTGCTGTTGTTGTTTTTAGTTTCACACTGGTCTTGGCACTGGGCCACACATACAGACACTGTGAAGCTGTTCTCTTAGATAAAGCTCAAATGCAGCAACAGTATCGCTGAAGGCTGAGGAGCTGAGGATTATGCTACGATGACAAACTCCATTTTCTGGGTTCATAAGCATTAATCGGGAAGTTCTTTCGTTTCATTCTTTATTGTTAAAAATTACACTGAAACACAGACATTAGTTACATTTTCTGCCTTAAATGAGCACCACTGCATCTTTCCCTGAGGACTGAAGATTGGCAAAGTCTCTGCCACGATTTTAAATATCATTGCTTAGTATCACCTGTCCAGCCACAGGACAAGGGGAAGGCCAGGTAGGTGGGGCCTCAATTACAACAGCCTAGCTCTGACTGTTTGATTTACTGGATTCTTTGGCGGGTTTCCAGGGAGGAGGTCGAGTTGGGTTCTGCCACTCCTGGAGAGCACATTACATCTGCGGAGAGAACACTACATCTGCAGTGAGCCGGGTCTACAGACAGAAATATCTTTTCTAATATAAGCTTAACAAACTTTACTTAGCTTGCTTCTTTTTTCCTAAAAGCAAAGGATAACCAGAAAAAAACATGTCCACCTGCAGATATGTGCTAATAAATACCAAATGTAAGCACATTCAGGGGATCCTTAATATTCACAACACTAGGATCACCTTCAGCCTCATTAAAATATCTGCTCTCGTCTGCAAGAAACCTCCAAAACTCTTTTTCCTCCATATCATCTATCTCAGCTGGACTCTCCTCTCCGTTCCCCTTCACTGGGAGGTTCCCTGCCAAACAGAGACACTCCAGTTATGCTGTTTAATTCATTTATTCTTAGGTTTATTCTTGGTCTACCAATTCCTTGAGACACCAAAAACTCTGGCACATTACCAGACAGCACAGTATTAAAACCTCCTATGTAGAAAATAGGTTGGTTTAAAAAAAAAAACTGCTTATTAAAGATGCCTTCTCAGAGGTTTCTGGTAAATAGATTAAATGCTCATGTTTCTCTCTACTCTTTCACAGAACTCCATTAAGATGACTGTAAAGGAATAAAAACAAAAGTATCGCAAGGACAAATAAAACATGAGGTGAGATGGTAACAGATAAGGGAGGTCAATAAGTTTTTGGAAGGAGAAAAGCAGGAAGACAAGTGATAATTAAAGTTTTAATCTGTTCTAGGTGAGAGGATAAGAAGCAAGCTAATTAAAGTGCAGAACCCCAAAGACAGGAATCAGAGGGCGGTGGGGGTGCTGGGTAAACAACCTGTAGGGAGCAATTCAGAGATCCCCCTTCCCAATCCCCACCCATCCAGTCGGAAGTCAAGAGGACTGCCATCTGGAGCGGCTGGCAGCAGGGGAGTCCATGGAAAAGGGGGATTCGGTTAAAACCTAACAGGCCCATCCCCCCGTCAGCCTCCAGCTCTCCAGACACCCTGACTTCTGCTCTGAGAGTCAATGATGAGTTAGTTACTGGGAGGAGGAGCTAACAGCATGTGAAGGTCTGCAAGCAAGAGGGCCCAATCTTCTCCCCACCCACGGCAGCCCTGTCTACACACACAGCGTGCCCGTCAGTTCTCCAAGCTGGCCATTACAGATGTGCAGAAAGCACAGGACCACCAGACATCTCAAGAAAGCCTCCGACCAGAAAGACCGTGTGGGTAAAGGGCTGAAAGGAAATACGGACCAGCAACACTGCAGAGGAGCTCTTCAAAAAGAATCCGAACATTGGCCTAGCGCTGTGGCTCACACCTGTAATCCCAGCAGTTTGGGAGGCCAAGGTGAGCGGATCACCTGTGGTCAGGAGTTCGAGACCAGTGGCCAACAAGGTGAAACCCCATTTCTACTAAAATTACAAAAATTAGCTGGGAGCGGTGGTGTGCACCTGTAATCCCAGCTACTCGGGAGGTTGAGGCAGGAGTATCGCTTGAATCCTGGGAAGCGGAGGTTGCAGTGAGCCGAGACCTCACCACTGCACTCCAGCCTGGGCGACAAGAGGGAAACTCCAGCCTGGGTGACAAGAGGGAATCTCCAAAAAAAAAAAAAAAATCTGAACACCATCATCGGCGAGATAAACCATCATAGCCATGAAATAACAGTAAGAGGGTATAAAAAACAAAAACGTAGTGAACAATACAAGTTCTTGGAAAGTGAAACTATGAAAACAGAATAAACATCTGTCAGGAAATAGAACAAAAAGAAAGCAAACAGATTAAAGGAGAATAGAAGAAAAGGTTTAGAAACTAAAGAATTAATCCAGAATTTATAACATCCAACTAAATAAAAATACAGATACGGAAATTATCAAAGAAATAATACCCTCCCCCAATGAGGAAAAAAATAGCACCAAGTTTAATACTGAATAAGTCTAGCAAAATGAATGGAAAATAACAACTCCAAACATCATCCGCATTTCAGAAATCAAGTTTCTAACATCTCCAGAGAGAGAAAAAAATCAGTGACATACGGAAGAAGAGGACTTGGACTTCTCAACAGACATGCTAAACCTCAGAGGACAGTGGGGAACAACAGCTTTTGAGGGAAAATTATATCCCATCTAGAATTCTACACTCAGCCAATCCACCCATTAAAAGTGAGGGTAGAAAGACCACCTTTCTGACATGCAGAGACATGCACCTCCCCTGCACCCTTCCTACAAAGCTACTACAGAATGAACCCTACTAAAATGAGGGATTACATAAAAACAAGACATGGAATTCAGAAGACAGGGTTTGAGGTCAAAGTAATTCCAAGAATGGCAGTTAAGGGGTGCTTCACTCCGCATACACAGTACGCCATGAGGGTAATAAAGTACAGAATGAAGAATGAGGCAGGGGCCGCTGGAGGGATTCCAGCTCTGACCAGAAGATCACCATTGCTGCCAAAAGCCACACAAAATTTAAAGAAGCAACATGCAAAGTGCTTACTTCCAAATCAAAGTCCAGTATGGCTGATCTAATTAAAAGAATGTAAGGCAGCTGAAGGCATCCCTAGCTGTAAGAGAGGCTGTGAATTTGAGTTCTGAATTCTAAATTACGAAGGCAGTGCTTTTTACATGTGGGAATCTCCTCAGACATGGAAAGTCTACTCAAAAGATGATGGTCATCTATGAATATGAAAAGCGTTCACTTGTAGTCTGATTAACCAATAGGTTCCACCATCTTGAGAGGAACTGCACAGTTTCATCAGAGGCTTGAGGGTAAACTGGTGATGTATACATTTCTTAAGTAAAATAACAGGCAGTTATCAACTCCTGGGTAACAAAAAGTTATACAGTAAGGAAGTATACTTACAGTCCTTGACTCAACTACAGACAGTTATTTTGCAGTTACGTTAACATAAATGCTGAAAGTTGGTTTAACCAAAAGTTATAATATGGAAAGATGAAGAGGGAAAAGGAAATACAAGGCAGGAAAGTCAGTTTTTATTCAAAAGTTCACTTTTTCACTTATTTCCATATCATCATTCTCCAGGTTAAACACACCAGAATAAAAGCTCAGAGTGTTGAGTATATCGTCTGAATATTACTTAAGATTTCTGGCAAATTCCTATTTCCAAAAGCAAAAGTCATCAGCAATGTAGACTGCAAAGCAAAATATTAATTGTTCATATATAAGCTTAACTGCCACAGAGGTGCTATAATTGCATGATACACTCTGAGATAGAAGAAAATAAGGTTAATAGAAATCATATACCAGTTTAAAAAGGTGTACTTATCAAAACAATGCTTACAGACATACTACACTTCCATCCTCTCTGGATACATAGATAGATTAGGAATTTTCTCCACTCTGGAAGCCTGAGCGCTTGCTCGAAGTATGAAGAGACAGTTTCCCTTCTTAAAACAAAACAAAACGAAAAAAATCAAACAAGATCCAACCAGCCTTCAAGCAGCAGCCTTGTGGCTTTCTGAACTGATCCATCAAAGCACCAAAGCAGAGCAAAGATGAAAGGAAAGTTTGTAAGGAAGAAGGAAAGAAAGTTAGATTCTATGTTTATAATCATGTGTAAACTGAAAATGTGAAAAATTCTATAAAATTCACAAAGGCCACCTTACAATCTAATTAAACTTGAAAAGCACACTCTACCTACTCCCAAGAACACACGCCTCCTTCCCCAGACCCAGCAAACTCCTACCGCAAGATCCAGGCCTAAGGGCACCTATTCTCTACCCCATGTAGCTTCAGTTGTTCCCAGAGTATAGTGCCCAGATCTTGACCCAGCACTCCTCACACTGCATCCCAGTACCTGGCATGTATCTGTTCCCATGATGGTTACCCACTTAGGGTTACCAATAAACATCTGATGACAACTAAGTGAGCAAACTACCGAAGACCTTAATAATATGCTCTCAATTCCTTAGACCAAAACAATAGCTATGGATAGCAATGGATATGTAAGAGAATGGCATTTATCTAAATGCAAAATATCAATTTTTTAAATTTAGTGAATACACATTATTATTAGAGTCAGTCTGGGGCCACATAGATAGCCGAACACTTCCCCTCTATATCCCTGTTCTTATCCCAGCCCAGGAATGTGCCCCTTGGTGCTACCATAGCCCCGGGGTAAAAATCTATACCTGTGCTCACTACTCAGCGTATCTCTCTGCAGAGTATCCCTGCCATGGTCCTAAGGAGCAAAGCCCCAATTATGGCCATCTTGGTATTTCCCCATGACTAGTACAGGATTGAGCAGACTGTAGACATTGAAAATACATGTGCTGAGTTAAACTCAAAGTAAGAAAGCTTAACTTACAGTATGAACTGTTTTTCTTTCCAGTGAAACATTTTTTTGATTCAAATAATTGTATTTTAAAAGAAAACTTTGCATACTACCATAAATATAAAGTATTACTTGTCATAAATAGAAGATTACCAGAAAAAATGAATACCATGAAGACAATACAATATAATTACATTCTAAGCAGATACTGATGCTGCCCAAGGCACAGACAAGGCCTATTCTTTAGAAAAAGGAAACGGGGTGGGACGCACCATGAAGTCTTTGAAGGATGCTACAGCATACTAACACCAATGAGAGAACAACTTCCCTACTCTATGACTCCAGGTTATGTAAGGCTGTGTCTATGTGCCACCCAAAATGACCTTGTGTAACCCCAGTGGAATGTGTTGCACACACAGCAACGCTGGGCTGGAGGACCTTTAAGGCTACTATCTACTAGAAAAGCAGAATTCTCTACTTCGAGTTTGTATGAGCTTGAGCAAGCTACCTAACCTCTGTTTCCCCACTGGCAAAGTGAGTGGTATTCCTTACCTCAAGGATTTGGCAAGAATTATAGGAAATGATATATGGAAAAGGTTTGGCAAGACTCCCTGGCACTTAAGAGTCTCAGTAAATAACAGACCAGTGGTGAAACCCTGTTTCTAGTGTAAAATGGTACAGCCACCATGGAAAACAGTTTGGCAGCTCCTTAAAAGTTAACCTACAGAACTGCTATATGATCCAGCAAGTCTACTCCTAGGTCTACACCCAAAATAATTTAAAGTAACTTTCCAAACAAATACCTGGACACAAAGGTTTATAGCAGCACTATTTTTTCAATTGCTAAAAGATGGAAACAACCCAAATGTCCACCAGTGGATGAATGAATAAACCAAATGTGATGCATATATCCTACAGATTATTATTAAGCCATAAAAAGGAATGAAGTACTGGTACATGCCACAAGAGATGAACCTTGAAAACAGCATGTGAAGTGAAAAAAAGCCAGACACAAAAGGTCATATATTGTATCACTCTATGTACACAAAATATCAAAAATAGGTAAACTCAGAGATAGAAAGCACGTTAGCAGTCGCCTGGGGGGAAGAGGGACAATGGAGAGTGCCTACATTATGGGGTACAGGGGTCTCATCTGGGGGTGGTGAAAATGTTGGAACTAGAGGAAGAGAGGGCTGCACACCACTATTACTGCAGTAAACATCACTGAACTGTACACTTTTAAGTGCTTAATTTTAGGTTACGTGAATGTCCCCTCAAAAAAATTCCTTTAAGTGTGACAGACATAGTAGGCCACATTCAATTTTCAATTTGTTAAAGGTCACAAAAGACTTTACGTGAAATGAATATTCAATGTCAAAATGAGGCTACTTTAATTATAATCAGTCTTATTATTTAAAAACTCAAAGGAACTCTAGTATCAGTGATGAAAAGCATTCCAGCTTTACCAGAATCATAAAACAGTGCTAGCGTGTGCCCAGGGTTCAGGCGGTAAGGAACTGAAACCCTTGCTCTAGCACTTGGTAGGCATGTAAATTTGAACAGCCCGATAAACCCCTTCCCTTAGCCTCCACATTTGTAAATTAAGGATGACTATGTAGCAATGCCTGTCTCAGAGGCAGTCACGAGGACTGCATGAGTTAATCCACATAAAGCAAGTAAAACAATCAAGTGCCCGACCCAGCGTAAGCCCTCAATAAACATAAGCTACTATTACTATTCATAAAATGGAGATAAACAGAAAGATGGCAGGGATTAAAGGAGAACATCCATGTAAAAGTACTCAGCATAAGACCTGGCACAGAGACTGCTGTTCATGTTACTGTCATCCACAGGCAATTTCTCCTATTTTGCAAATAAGGAATTGGGCCCAGGGAAGAGACAATGATGATAATGACAGTTTACATGGAGGCACTACAGTCCTGTCATCATCGTCACCATCAAAATTATTTAGCTATCATAAATCCTCGACTAGAACAAAGCACACAGGGATGATTTTTAAGAATTCAGCCTACATTTCATTCCTCTACTCCGAGGTGCGAGTCTCATTCCAGCCGCAGTCATGACCTCTGTTGTGGAAACCGGCTGCAGTGCAGTGTGTGCGTAATGGCAGCAGCCCCGTAAAGCACGTGAAAATCAAGTCTGGGTTCAAATGATCAGCAACAGAGAATTAAAATGCCTCTAAAGCCCTTTCCGTGATCCCAGCGCAAGCATGTATGTGAACTGCGCCCTCACCGCAGAGGCTCAAAGCCCATCTTCCAGGCCCTGTTCTTCCACCACATACAGCAGGAACTCTCTTCCCTCCAGCAGCAAATCCCCAATAGAAAAACACCTGTTTTGTATATATGGCATCCTAACTACTTGGGGGATTTCTTCAGTAAGCACTGTCGAATGACTGGTGTTGGGATGAAGAACCTAGCTCCCATCACATCTACACTACCCGGCTCAACCTTCTCCAGACCCCAACTGGAGGTATTACACCCAACACAAGGGGTCACTCTGAGATATGGCGGGCCTTGAAGCAGAGTAGCAGCCATCTGCAATTTACTCAATGGGGTTAAAATCAGGGAGGAAGAAACAAAGACCACTGACATGACACACACTGAAATGAGCAGGACAGAAAACCACTCTGCTAGAACAATCTCTCAGGCATCAAACCTTCCTTAGGAATCTAAAAGCATCATTAAAACCACAGCCCTGTAGCTGTCTGCAGGCTTCATTCTCAGAGCACCTGAGCACTGGGATTCTAGTGGAAACTATGTAAGCCTTGGTGAACGAGCCTACCTCAGAGCTAACCATGGGTGGCAGATATACAGCTAAAACACACAGACATTTTTGCATCAGGCTGAACAGATTTCACTGGCCAGAGTCTACGATTCTGTGAATTCTTTATTTGTAGTTTGGAAATGTTTGTGAAATGCCATGTAGGATGGGTTCACACCCTGGGAAAACCTAGGGCATATATTCTAACGGAGCATCAAACAAGTGAGGTTCAGGAGGGGATAAGAGAACTGGAGAAAACAGAACAGGGCAGGAGGCGGTGGGAGTGTGCTATTTTACTTGAGTAAGTAAGAGTGACGGCTCAAGGAACTGAGATAGCAAGCCCTGTAAGACCTGGCCAAAAGCCTTCCCAGCAGGAGGAAAAGGAAATGCAAAGTTCAGAAAGGCTGAAAAATGCTGAGAAAGGCTAAAAGGCTGAGAAAAAAAATACTTAAAGGCTGAGAGATAGAGAAGGACCAGGTTGTGGTCCAGGTGGAGGGAAAGAAGGAGCTACCAGGTATCGAGACAGGAAAACTATGAGCGGCGACACTTAAGAGGGAAGCTTTTACACAATAAACACTTTGAAACTGTCAAGAACTATTCTGTGTTCCCTACAAGGTGTTAGCAACCAAAAAGTTCTGCCTCCAAAATTTTAGAACTCAGAAATCAAATTTGCAGCCTCTCTTGCAGCCTGTGTACATTCAGGTGACTTAAATTCTTTGTTAGATCATAGCAGAGTTTGATTTGGAAGCAAGCACAACGCATGATGCTTCTTGCCAGACCCTGGTGGCATCTGCAGCAGTGGTGATTTCCTACTCAGAGCTGGAATCCCTCCTGGAGCCTCATGCCTCATCCTCTGCTATGTATTTATCACTCTCATGGCCTGCTGCACATGTGCAGTGAAGCATCCCTTAACTGCCATTCTCGGAAGTGTGCTGTGATACATCAGATGCCATGAAGACTATGGGCCGGTGATGTTACTAAGTTAGTACTCTTCCCATCCTTTTATTTTGAAGCCAAGGAGGAAGAAGAATGGGTCAGAACTCAGCCAGAGACACTATTAGAGAAAGAAGAGGTTAGTTCTCCCTGGCAGCTGAAGGGAATTCTAGTCTTTCTTCCTCTCCCCAACTGCTATGGTTTGAATGTATCCCCTAAATTTCATGTGTTGGAAATTCAATCCCCAAATACACATGTTGACCAGAGGTAAGGACTTCAGGAAATAATTCGATAAGGTCATCAGAATGAGGTCCCCTACAGTGGGACCTGCGGTTTTCTAAGAGAAAGAGAGATCTGAGGCAGCATGCTCCTGCTGTCTCACCTTGTGATGCCTTCCACCATGCTGTGAAGGAGCAAGAGGGCCTTCACCAGAGGCCAACACCATGCCTTTGGACTTCTCAGCCTTCAGAACTATAAGAAATAAATTTCCTTTCTTTATAAATTACCCAGGCTATGATACACTTTTATAGCAACAGAAAACAAACTAAGACACTAACCATTAAATTTTGGTCAATTACTAAAGAGTAACATCTTATCTCCATGACCCCTAACGAATGGCACAGGACCCATAAGTATGAGAAACGAAGATAGGTTCTATTTCTCCATGAAGCCCAGGACACCGAACAGAACCTCCAAAGACGTAAATGCTTAAGATATCTAGAAAACAGGCCTGGTGTGGTGGCTCGAGCCTGTAATCCCAGCACTCTGGGAGGCCGAGGCAGGCGGATCATGAGGTCAGGAGATCGAGACCATTCTGGCCAACATAGTGAAATCCCGTCTCTACTAAAAATACAAAAATTAGCTGGGCATGGTGGTGTGCACCTGTAATCCCAGCTACTAGGGAGGCTGAGGCAGAAGAATCACTTGAACCAGAGAGCTGGAGGTTGCAGTGAGCTGAGATCATGCCACCACACTCCAGCCTGGAAGACAGAGCAAGACTTTGTCTCAAAAAAAAAAAAGATACCTAGAAAATGACTGTTGGGATACCTGACAATCCTACTGGAAATCTCAAGGTAATATAACTGAAGAAAAGGGAAGCCTCCTTGTTGGCTGACCCTTCTAAGGAAGCTTCTGAGGTCAAAGTCCCATAGGCCAACAAGCACTCTGGCCTTTTCCTTTTCCCAGTTCTCTTTGGAAACAATGATTATGCTACTGATTAAAAAGAAACATCTAATCCTTACTTATAGTATTTTAAGAGCTGCTGCTTTCAGGTATGCTCTCACTATCTTTGGTGGCTCATACTGGAAAACCATCCCTGCAAGGCTGTCTTTTCTGCGGTGCATCTCAGACTGAAGCTCTCTTCCAAAAGACATTTGTCTCCAGCTCTCTTGAGGACTAGCTACTACAACTATCCAAGTGAGGCTGGTTATGCCATTAAGTAAAAGTTAATTACCTCAGCAATGGTTTCTGCATTTTAATTCTAATACCTGTGTAGTTTTGCTATTAACATTAGTCTGACTTTGTTTCTGAATGTTTGGTGTTTTTTTGTTTGAGACAGAGTCTCACTCTGTCGCCAGACTGGAACGATCTCAGCTCACTGCCTCCTGGGTTCAAGCGATTCTCCTGTCTCAGCCTCCCGAGTAGCTGGGACCACAGGCATGTGCTACCATACCTGGCTAAATTTTTTTTTTTTTTGGAGCGACGGGGTTTCACCGTATTAGCCAGGATGGTCTCGATCTCCTGACCTCGTGATCCGCCTGCCTCGGCCTCCCAAAGTGCTGCTGGGATTACAGGCATGAGCCACTGCGCAAGGCGTGTTTGGTATTTCATAGAACTTGGATCCCTGCCTTTGTCTAACCTTGAAGAGCCAATTCTACTGGTTGCTTTCCTTGGTAGTTACTTAAAAAAAAAAAAATGCTCTTACCAAGTCAATATCAATAAAGGGAGATGAATTTGGCTCATTCTTTGGAATACAGTCTGCTTTCTAAATTAAACACACTTTTCCATAAGAATTGGGAAGCTGAGTAACTCCTACTGTTTATCTAGTGACCAAAATTTTGGACTGGGGGTAACTAAGTAGGCAAGGGATGTTTGTGTTATACATACACACTACCCACACTCAGATCTCAAATCCAGAACATCCTGAACATTTCTAAACTTGACTCCCACTGCAGAGTTGCTCCTGAGGCCTCAAGCCAGGATTGGGCAAGGCTCCCTGGCTCTGCGGAAGGGCCCACAGGCCACTCTGAGAAGTGAGGCTGCTGCTACTTTGTAATCCCCACTACTTCCCTAATGTTCCTGCCCATCTTCCTTCTCTGCACCCTCTCAGCTTAAGAGTTTTCTTAATTTCATTCACAACTACAGATTTAACTTTTAAAATTCCTTTTCAAAACTATAACAAGGGTAAATAGCTTTAATAAATTTGTTGGATATAAAAATAATCAAACTGCCATAAAGAATTTAACTATTGGCTGGCTATTAACATAAAAAACTTTTTACCTTTAGAAAACAAATCTGTTTTAAAATACAAAACAAAGAAAGCTATCTAGCCTCCCTGATGGGAGTTAGAGTTCAAGTAATGCATAGAACATAAATCTTGAAATTTATTTCTCTGGACTTAATACAATTTGTCCCAATTTTCTACAATATATACTTATTTTCAGAACTACTTAGAAAGTAGTAACATCTTAAAAATGAGTAATTGCTAGATCTCTCTATGCTTCCTTTTGTGATTCCAAGTATGTCAACCTTAAGATTTTCTACATATCAAAAAGGACAGCTGCATTCTACACATCTAACACACACCAGATTCTCTCAGAAGAAAGACATTATCTGAGAATGCATTCATTTTAAAAACAAAATTAAGAATTCGAAAATAATTTATTAGACTGATTCCCACAATTTAATAATCTTTGAAGAAGAAAGAAACACCTCTCTTTTAAAAAAGAATTTTAAAGAATCTGGGTCAGTGGTTACATTAATACAATTTGTCAAGCATTGGCCCATACATTTCACAAAACTGTTGAAACAGCAAGACTCTAAAATCTAATACTGAGGCCGGGTACAGTGGCTCATGCTGTAATCCTAGCTAGAGAGGCCAAGGTAAGCAGATAGCTTGAGCCCCAAAGTTCAAGACCAGGCTGGGCTACATGGCAAAACCCTGTCTGTACAAAAACATTAAAAATTAGCTGAGTATGGTGGCAGGCACCTGTAGTCCCAGCTACTCAGGAGGCTGAGGTGGGAGAATCACCTGTGCCAGGGAGATCAAGGCTGCAGTGAGCCATGATCATGCTACTGCACTGCAGCCTGGGTGACACAGCAGGAACCCATTTCAAAAAAAAGAAAAAAAAATCTAATATCGAAACGAAAAGACATTAACTATTCCTTTAAAGGGGAAATCCAAGTTGAGGTCTTTTAGTCCAACCCCCTTATCTGGCAGAGGAGCACAGTGAGGTCCAGATTTTCCCAGTATCACACACAGATTAGACATTAACAGGCAGGGACTCAACCATCCCAGCTTCTGGTTCTGGGCCCATTTCATTCATTTAGGTCAGTGGTGAGTTTCTGATTTACCAAGTGGGCCAAGAACCAGCATGACTACCAAGCCTCCACACGGTGTGAGCTGCCCCTGCTTGCTGGCGAGGCCTCCCTCTAATAACCTGACCCACAGGGCAGTCACAGGAGATTAGGACCTTCACAGTCAGGTGTCACTGATCTGGGCATCCTTGGGCATCCGTGGGGTAATTTTCTTAATGCCCTGGGAGACTCTAACATTCAGCAAAGTCTAAGAACCACTTGTCTAAGATATGTCACTTAATCGCTCTAACTTTCCATTTATCTTGTGGGATTTCCATTGCCATTTCGTGTTTGTTTTTCAAGGAGCACTGAAGGGATATGGTTGGTTGATTTTACTGATGTTGACTGTTAGCTTTATTTGAATTATTAACATTTTAACATAAACATCATGCTTAATGTTTCTTTGGTGAAAGCAAACAAGTCACACTTATTTAAAATATACTTAAATAATTCTATGCTACCTAAAGCACACACTTGTTTGAGACCAACCTGGACAACATCGTGAGATCTCATCTCTACAAAAAAAAATTTAAAAATTAGCTTGGTGTGGTGGCACATGCCTGTGGTCCCAACCACTTGGCAGGCTGAGGTGAGAGGACTACTTGGGCCCAGGAGGTCAAGGCTGCAGTGAGCCATGTTCATGCCACTGCACTCCAGCCTGGGCAACAGAGCAAGACCTTGTCTCTAACAAATAAAAATAAAACATATATTTAAGATTTACATCTCAAAAATAAAAATATAATAGAAAACGTTACAGATATTTTAGGCTGAAAGTCTATATATGTAAAACACATAGTGGAACTCATGCGTACATGACAAAACAGTATAAACCACCAGCAGAGAACAGGCGCTATATGCTGTTTCATGTAAAATCTGATCTTCTCTTTTAGGAAAAAGGCTAAAGATTTAAAAATCTGTATTTAACTTGATATGTGATCTCTTCTAATATACAGTTCTACTAAGAATGTCACAATTCAAATATGTTTAAATCCAAATACAATATAAAAAGTAAACAAAAGAAGTTAGGTATCATAGAAATTTAAATTTTAAAGAGCAAATACAAATTAACATATCTACAAATCTTTTCAAAAATATTTTCTTGGTACAAAACTCCATCTACAGGGAGCTTTGGCATCACAGCCAGTAGCATCTGCTATCTACTTGGAAGCAGAAATGTGAGGTATAAATGTATTTTGCTGGTAAACCTTAAATACCTTCATGTTCACTGCTGAAGAACAACTCAGGAAACCACGACAAAATGTGCCCAACAAAAGGCCATTATTTATAAAAATCTGCGATTTGCTGAAGGGCCTCCAAACATTTCAGGTGTGCAAGCACATCAACTGGGCTCCAAGTCTCTTAGTACAGAACACGAATGTATAAAAATGTCGTAAATAACATCGTGAAATCTCACAGCATTTCACAATTTTACTGGCCAAAATGTTCATGTATATCTACACATACATGAAATATGTTTAGCATACAAATTAATATACATGTACACATATATTTCATTACACGAGAATGCCACTGTCACATGAATGTTCTGTTTTGCATACACGTGTGCAAGCACACGTGCACACACAGATACAGATGGGTATCTTTAAGTGAATATAGAGACTATCAAAAAACTAAGAGTCTGAATGTTGAGCAGGCACTAGGTACCCATTCCTCTCCATTACGCTAAGTTAAGTTATCCTTTCTCATCCCGGACATACTATCACACTCATCAAAAACAGGAAGTCTAAGCTCTTTTTTAGATAAAACAAAAATTAGGCCCTAACTATTGGAGTCACACATTTAGGATTCAAAGATTCAATCATGATAAACATTACATGAAAAAAACACCCTGGAATTTTTAAGTCTTAAACCAGTCTTCCTCTCCCCATTCATCCTTACTTTTCAGAGCTATCGTGCAAACTATATCAAAACATGACTTTAATTACATTTCAAAGAAACACATTATTTTTTCCAGATCAACAATATAAATTAACACAGGTGGAAACCCTAGAAATTGCCTGGCTGCCTTAATAACCCCAAAGGAAACATTCATTTTAGCCAAACAATTGTAATGTTTGTCTCCTTTTTAGAAACATCTGCTGCCAAAATAAACATTTGCATTGGAAGAAGTGTTTTGGCTGTTAAGATGGTACCAAAAAAATGCTTATGTTCTGAAACAAATATTTTACTCAAAAAACACGCAGCAAAATTAGAATACCAATTACTTTTTCAAGCCCTCTTCAAGAAAACCTGTTTTAAATTGTTTTTACTTCAGTGTGAAGTAGTAAGTTCAGATGAATCACCTTAACAAAAATAGTTTCTATTTAATTTTGTCATTTTCTATTTCAAAACAATGATCATATTCTATGATCCTGCTATAAAGTCTTTCACAATACAGATATGTCTTGAAAAACTAAAAAAAGTCATGTTTCCCATCATAAAAGCACTCGTGAACTTAAATCTCTCATTTTGCTTTTTTTCCTTTTTCCATTTTATAATTCCAACAGGTATCATATTATCAAACATCTACAAGAACAGTTAAAATAGCAATCCAATTACCAAAAAACTCAGGAAAAAATCTCAGTCTACATGATCGAAATCTGCTTGACACAAATAAATAACTTGGCTTCTGTACCTATTTCTCCTGGGTGCTATTTTATATGAAAATCTTATTTTACAAGTTGGCAAAGGACTACATGTACATTTATGATCACAAAGGGCAAGAAAAAAGAAAACCCACATTCTTGATCCAGCAAAGATTATATTGGTGTCTTTAAGGCTGTTGTTTTTTTTAATCTGAAAAACTCAGAGTCAGATTCTACTAACCTTACAAATTATGCATCTTCTGTGTAGCTCTCTAATAGATGAAATCAACCAATGTACTCTGTTAACCAACCCCAGGTCTGAATTCCAGAAGCCTAGAGGCAGAACATTCTCCACAGAGGCATAGAAAATTCATTTCCCCCCTGAACTCAATAAAAACCCAAGTAGACTAAGTTTTTAGGGCACCGTGCAAAACTAATCTGTTTAGCCCTGTATTTGCCTGATGATATGGGAGAATCGGCAAGTCAAGGACCACAAATATAGTTCCAGTTAATAAAGACTAAAATGATGTACCATTATTATGTCATGCTTCAAAGATCCAGTCATGAGTATATCTCAAAAACAAAATTATCACCATACAAATCAAAGATCACCAGGGTAATACTAAAATCAAACAGTCAGTAGCCAGTTCCTTCAGACTCTCAGAGACAAAAAATAAACAGTGGTACTCTCCATGTTAAATTTCACATCAACACTGAGTTCTTTCTAACAAAATACTCATTTAAAATTCTTATCACAGGAGCAGAATGCCAGCCAGGAATCAAACTGTGACCCCTGAGCCAAAGACAACTTACCACTCAGCTGGTGAGTGGGCAACTCAATTTACGAACTTGAATTCCTGCATTTTAATCCTGTGCAGAAATATATGAGCAATATTAAATGAACTGGATTCAGCTCATTAGAGGTTCACAAACCAAACACAGAAAGCTCTGGAAGCCATCCAAAGCAAAGTCATGCCTAGGTGATGATGTCCACTCAATAAATACTCAATGTCATAATTATCTTTCAACTTTTTCCCTGAAGAATATTATTAGCCACAACTACAACAATGCTTAGCCAATTACATTAATCCTACGGGAAGATGGATAGGACCAGCAGCCAATCACAGTGCCAGGACCTCGTTTGTGGACAAATTTATAATTATCCAAAATTCAAAAACAAAGCAACTCACTGAAAATTCCTCACCAAAGAACACAGACTCAAGCTAACAAAATGATTGCATGTGCTCTAATAACCCTTGCTCCAAACCTTCACTATTTTTTTTTTCCATTTCAAAAACTATTAAGAACTATTCACATGACCTTGGTATTATGAAAGCTGTATGCCTTCTTTAAAATGTTATACACATTCAAAAGTGCATTCCGTATTTTTAGACTTTTAAATTTTACAACAAGATACTATATTTCAAAGCTGTATTATAACTAAGTGAAAAGGTAAAAAGGCAGTATTTTTATTATTTAGACCCATGACTTTGATTAACTCATTATGAAAGTTTGACACTTCTGCAGCCAAGATATTCAATTTCTTACCAGATATACTATTTTCCTTTCATTATCAGAAAGATCTGTGCTTAATTAGAATTGGGTATTTCTTCTGGTTAGCAGTAAAATATCTAATCTAAAATCTTAATTAAAACTTTGCTGAAATACTTGATGGGCAATCTACATCAATTTGTTCCTTCAAATAAATCTAAGAGTCATTGGATTTAAAAAGTGTAGAAGAGTCAAAGGGATTAAATAAATGGAAGAAGCTAAGAAAATTGAGATTACTCTATATACTTGTGTATGTCCTCTACTTTTAGCTTTACACATCTGGGAAAGAAAATAATGAAAAACATTTCCTAGGTAATCATTCTTTCACACACACTTTGGGACTGGAAAGTAAGCCAACATCAAGAACTTCTAGTAAGACTTAACTCCTTCAGAGACCATGGAGATCAGCTGCTTGGCATGAATAGTGCCTTTTGAAACTGACTTTTTAATCTCACATCAGGGAAACATGGTGAAAAGCAAGATATGGAGACCACGAGTGGCAAGCATCCATTTCTCTCCACCGGTCCCACTGCTGCTTACCACCTTCCCATCTCTGCTCTCTTCCTGTGGCCACAGCATCATCCACAACTATTAGATCCCACATAAAATCAGCTACAGAGTGCAATGTGGACTTGAGGAGCTATCTGCCTGGGCCTTCTTCCTCTCAATTAAAGGTGAAGTTTCTCTAAAACTAAAACGAAGGAGAGAAAATTGCAACTCTTTCACCTTACTTTTCATCATTTACAAATTATCTCCCTCTCACAGTTAGCAGCCACAACTAAAGATTTTTACTCTAGGCAGCAAAACAGTCCTGGAAAAAAGGAATAATGTGGAAAACATTAAGAGTACAATTAAGTATGCAACTGACTGCTAGAATTCTGAGTGGGTAACCTTCAATAATCCAGGGGTGAGGTCTTCAGACAACAGCAAAGGGTGATCAGTCTGCACCTAGGATTCAAAGGCTGAGCTACCTCCATCTTCCCCCACAATGGCCTTAATATAAAAATATCATCCAAGTGGGAGCAAAATAAAGACAAAAGACAACATTTTATTGCTTATTTTAGAAATAAAAGACTTATCTGATTTCTTTTTTGTAGGGTCTCAATACACTGCCTAGGCTGGACTCAAATTCCTGGGCTCACGCGGTCCTCCCACTTCAGCCTCCTGAGTGGCTGGAACTACAGGAGGGCGCCACCATGCCATGCTATTATAACATAGACTTATGCAATATTATAATTACAATAAATTTTAATAATAAATTAATAACAATGATGAAATAAATCACAATACAGATCAACAGTGTATAAAAGACTCAGAAGCAACCTACTAATGAACTGTTAATATACAGCTATGTACCATCATGTATGATTCAATCATTCTCCATATCTACTTTAGAGAGAAGAGAAGTTATATCTAACTTTTCCCCCTCAACAGAAGATGTTTGGTCAGATGGAAGCACTTCCTGGGGCGGTGGCACCACCATGAGATACCCTAGCCTGGCGCAGTAAACACACATGAGCATCAGCCCGACCCACTCCCTGGGGGCTTAGGCAACGTAATAAACCTTTCTGGTGTTCCTAGTAATGAAATACCCTAACAAGTCTGAATATAATTTAGTCTTTTCCAGTTTTCATCCTTCCTCCAGCCAGCACAAAGGGGTATTCTTTCAAATATCCAAAAGACTAGGTTTACTACTGCTAGAAGGGGTAAATGGTCATCTAAGGTGACTCCATTTGATTCTAGAGAAAAAGGAGGAAAATATTGAGTCTTTTAAGAGCAGGACAAGTCTTTTTTAAGTAAAAACACAAAATCCATCAAGACCTAAGAACACAGATGCACATCAAATCCTCTTACATGAAATACAGAAAACTTTTTCAAAAGGTACAGAAGAAATAAATAACTTGCTAAGAAATGAAAGCAAAATAACTTTGGGAGACTAAACTTTTTTTTTTTTTTTCAATTTTAAAAACTTGATGCCATCCTCATTGGAAAAGGCCTTTAAATGACTTGAAAATTAACCTTAAGATAGCCTATTCACAGCTCAAAATTGGACACAGTCTGACAGAAATGTTAGAATGCCAAGTTCACTTCAGAGCTTACATCTATTACAATCAGCTGCAAATTTATGACACAGTGCATCTATCAAACACAACTGGGACTGCTGCCCTTCTACCAAACAGGTATTTTGTCTACTTTAAGAAGCTCACCTTTCCATCTTTAAAAGAAAGAAAAGGAAATTATACCTGTGATTACTTAAAGAAACAATAAAAATAAAAACAAAAAATCCGTGAAATGCCCCGGAAATCTCTTTAACACCAATCTTAGGCAGATAGCAAGAGGCAAAGATAAAATGATCACAAAAAAGCAGGGGGTGGAGGGACCAGCACAAACCTGCTGCTGAGGGTACTGAATTCCTCCCATGGCCCCAGGAGTCCGACCCTGGATGCCAATCGGATACCGCTGTGGGCCTGGGGGGCCATAGGAACCTCCTGGGTACGGGCTGCTCTGCTGAGGCTGAGAGTGAGGGTTACTGCCCATGCCATACAACTGAGGTCTCTTCATCACCACTGGATCCATAGGGCTGCCCTGTGAAGACATAAAAGAAGGTGGTTTATTAATTCAGTATTTATTAATAAGGCAGGAATTTCAGTTATGTTAACATACGCATTAATAACACAACTGTCCTTAAGTTTTGAAAATAATAAAAACAATGACCTCACAAATAAAAACCCAGCAAGCCATTAAGGAAAAAACCTAGTTGGATACAAGAAATTTCATGTTTTACTTTTAGAAAGATTTTAACAATTAAGAGAGCTCTGGAGTAAACAATACTAAAATAGATTTTGCACCATAAGCAGAGAGAAAACATTTGCATCGAAAATTCAATTATACATACACGAAAAGAACATGATAGTTAAGCTCACCCACCTCCTTTTAGCTTACTAGTAACAAGAGCAGGGGGTATTGACTGATTGGCATTTTCTGCCTTCAAAGTATTCTTAGAACAATGATTTTATTTTGGAACTGAGTCTGCAAGTCTTCATCAAACCTTCGTGCAACCGAGTGTTCATTAAGAAGTGAAAAGATAGATTTTAGATAATACACATGTCCAGGGTAAAGATTTTGTTCAAAGACCAGCAGTGTGCAGGGATGAGCACCCTGACTGTGAGTCACAGAACCTCTCCCCATGTAAGTCAGCATCTTACCAAACACAACCAGCTCACAAGTAGACTTTGAATTTTATTTTTGGTTTGGTGAGTCAGGCCCTGGGCTGCAGGGCCAAGGTCATATGGAAGGGCCAGGAGTGGAGCCTCAGCCCATTACATCCCAGAGTGCCAAAGGAACAAAGCAATGAGGAGGAAGGCCCTTATCCGGTGCTACAGCAGCAGGCAGCCTTCACCCAACAGCTCCTTCCTTCCCTCCTCTGCCCTTCCAAAACCACATATTGATCCCTACTGTGTACCAGATGCTATGTTCACACTGAGGAAAGTACATGGGGACTTTCAGGAAGGCCTATGAAATAGCAGGATAAGTTCAAGACCATCCTGGCAAGATCACAAGACCCTGTCTCTACAAAAAAACAAAAATTTAGCCAGGTGTGGTGGCAGGCTCAAGATCACTTGAGCCCAGGAGTTTGAGAACAGCCTGGCCAACATGGTGAAACCCCATCTCTACTAAAAGTATAAAAATTAGTTGGGCATGGTGGCACATGCCTGAAATCCCACCTACTCGGGAGGCTGAGGCAGGAGAATCGATAGAACCCACGGGACAGAGGCTGCAGTGAGCCGAGATTACGCCACTGCACTCCAGCCTGGGTGACAGAGTGAGACTGTCTCAAAAAAAGAAAAAAAAAATCAGGATAAAGGGGAATAACACGTTCAAGGTGGGAAGGAACAGCACATACAGTACCACAGGGCAGAAGAAACAGCACAAGAAAAGGCACCGGCTCAAGGCAGATGAACTGCCTGTTGTGCATCAGGAAATAAAAAAACTTCTGGATCCAAGTGAAGCATGAATCTGCAGAGAAGATGCTGAAACAGGCAGAAGCCAGAACATGGGTGCGCCCTGCAGGGCACCCTACAGGCGCAGAATGCCTCTGACAGAAGAACACAGGACTGCTTCCTTGAGCACCCGACCTGGCTGGAAGCAGGTCAGGTTGCCGTGGCAGGCAGGTGAGGCTGAGGTCCTGAACTGGCAGCAGTGGTGGGAGGAAGCAAGCCCAGCTCCAAGTCACAGGAGGGAAATGCAGCAGGATTTGGAGACCAAAGCAGTGATGGAAGCCAGCAGCCAAGTGAGATGGAGCGTGCAGAGGGAGAAGCCAATCACCGTCTCCCCAGGAGCGGAAGCCTTCAGCGGTCTACACAGGGAACTTGAGGCTCTGATATGAAATCCAGGTGAAAATACCCAGAAGGAAGATACACAATGAGTTGCAGCTTGGGGAGGAAGGGCTGACCTAGAAAAATCAGTAGAGAAGTCAGCAGAGAGGACATCTGCACCCAGAGGGCAGAGTTTTTCTCTGTTTTATTCACTATTATATCTCCGGGGCGTAAGTTCAACAGTGTAACCAGCACATTAATTGATGAATTAATCAATAGGAAGCAATAAAACCCATGAACTTTATTTAGGAGGAATATGTGAAAGGAAAACAATGGGTATGAACAGAATCCTAGAGAATATCACCGCTTAAGGGAAACAGGAAAATGAGCCCACAGACAAGCTGGAAGAATGGTCAGAAAATGTAGTTAGAGACTCTGGAGAGTGTGGTATTACGAGGGGAGGGAGTCAGGTGTAGCAACAAACAGGCGTGCCAAATGCAGCCCAGGAATGGTCAGGTGAAGGGTAAAGGCTTCTGCTATACTTGACAAGGAGGCCACTGACGTACTTGACAAGGAGGCCCCTGACGTGCTTGGCAAGGACAGTCTCGTGGCAGAGGTGACGGCTGACGCTAGGATGGAGGAGAGCTGAAAAGGGAAGGCAGGCATGCAGACCCTGAGAACTGCCAGTCCTCCCTTCCACTGGCACTCCCACTCCAAGGCTGCAGGGGTCCCTCCCCTTCTCTTCCTTCCTCAGTACTCTGATGCTCACTTTATGGATCTGGTGAATCCACTGACCACACATTTACTAAGCACCTACTATGTGCGTTGTGCCTGCATTGGAAGCAGAAGGATGAACAAGCCTCCATGTCCTGGAGATGCACTGAAGGAGACAGACTAAACAGGTCACAGTGCAACACGGCAGACATCCTGAAGGGACAAGGCACCAAGGCACAGCAAGAAGAGAGTGTCTCACTGGGTGTGCCATGAGTTTTAACAAAGGCCTCCTATAGGAATTACCTGAGCTCAGTCCCGAGGCACTCACCGGAATGTGCCGGGAACCCATCTCACCTAAATGAAGCTCTGTGGGGGACGTGAGAGGAAAGAGGGTGCTTTGCCCCAGGCCCCACAGCCTACAAAGAATTGATCTGCTCAAAACTCACCGAGTGATGCAATTTTAAACTGTTACTACTTTCACCAGTCAAGATAGTGTTTGGACTTAAAATAACAGTATATTTTTTTGCCCAAATAATACACTGATTTTATACAACCTGAGCTGCCTTCATAATTAAGTGTACAAACATAGATGTTGGTATATTTGTAATAATACTAAAATCTAGGGCAAAGAATTCATTTTCTCACAATTATTTAAATTAGAATGTATGCCCGATAAAAATAAAATGTGATTATTTTCTAGATTTTCTTGCAAAAGATAAAACTTTTTTATGGAAGTATGAAAATCAATGCTGAGCTGGTGATTTCGAAATCAGCCAAGTGAATGAAGGGCCTACGGAGAGGCTGAGTAAATCAAATTTCAGGCTAAATTTCCAATACGGGGCCCTGAGGCAGTCGTATCTTCACATTCAATCTAGACAGCCCAGGGCAGAGGAAAGGTCTACTTATTTCACTTCAAATAGTACAGGACCAAAACTGCCTTAATTAAAGCAGAAATGTTAAACGGGAAAATGATTGAAATGTCTATGTTTTAATGCTATAGATAACAGTGCAGCAAATTCATCTTATCAGTGACTAAAATTGTTTTGTAATATCTGTCTTATCACTGCCATCAACTCTCACAGTCCTACTTAAAATTCAGTTAATTTGCACCATGTCAAAAATGTTAGCTTAACCCTGAGATTTCTGAAAATCGAAAGCATGAAATACACAGATTATCTGAACCTCTCAAAATGTACCAAATATCTTTCAATGAGACTTCAGATAGAAAAACAGATATTCGTACAGTGCAAATTATTTAATTTTAACTTCTCCTTATGGCCTATTATTAAATATTCGTCCAGAGTCCAAATCCACCCTGCTGTGTACTCTCACTATTTTGAGCATTAAATATGTATGACTGAGGGTCTCAACCCCTGCTTCTCACTACTAGTCCCTGAAAGAAACCAAAAATCGGCCAGGGGCAGTGGCTCACGTCTGTAATCCCAGCACTTTGGGAAGCCAAGGTGGGTAGATTGCCTGAGTTCAGTAATTTAAGACCAGCCTGGGCAACATGGTGAAAGCCCATCTCTACTAAAATACAAAAATTTAGCTAGACCTGGTGGCAGGCACCTGTAATCCCAGCTACTCAGGAGGCTGATGCAGGAGAATTGCTTGAACCCGGGAGGTGGAGGTTGCAGTGACCTGAGATAACACCACTGCACTCCAGCTTGGGCAACAGAGTGAGACTCTGTTTCAAATAAATAAAATAAATAAATAAAATCTAGGACTTCCGCAGAAGAGAAAGGCCAACCTGCTTCTCATATTCGTATCTAACCTGAAGCAATTTTATGTTTTTTGTTTTGTTTTGTTTTTTGAGACAGGGTCTTGCTCTGTCACCCAGGCTGGTATGCAGTGGCATGATCTCGGCTCACTGCAGCCTCCACCTCCTGGGTTCAAGTGTTTCTTGTGTCTCAGCCTGAGTAGCTTGGATTATGGGTACACACCACCATGCCCGGCTTACTTTTGTATTTTTTGAAGAGACAGGATTTTGCCATGTTGGCCAGGCTGGTCTCGAACTCCTGACCTCAAGTGATTCACCCGCCTCGGCCTCCCAAAATGCTGGGATTACAGGCGTGAGCCACCCCACCTGGCCAATTTTATGTTTTTTAACATCTATCCGGGTTGACCATTTTCATTTCTCACATAAAGTTTATGCTCTACCAGGGTTATCACCCACATCAAAAATAGTCCTCAACAACTTCTCTAATAGGTTGTCCTGTTTTCCTTTTAGACGGCATTCCACAACTGCTGCAGCTTGAGTTTCAACTCCGCAGAGTAAGACAAGTGCTGCTAAGGCCACAATATACACATCACCATTTTCAAAGAGCTCTTAACCTAACCAGTCTGGGTTTAGTCACTTGGCTTCTAATGCAATTTTATTACTTGATAAGACTTTCTTCCTCCTTATTCAAGTAAGCTTTTGGATGTACACGTAGGTAGGAGTTACTGCCTCTCTCTCTCTCTCACCCACATACACCCTTGCCAGGATCTCCTTTGGGGAAACTGCCACAGCAACCTCAAGTTTCAACCTCCAGTAACCTCAAGTTTCCCATCTCTGGGACTATTAACTAAGGAAGAAATACACCGTCTATTTTTAAGACATGTTTGTATATAGATTCTTCTAAGCATACTGGGTGGCACAATTCAGCTATACCACATGTTAAACAGGCTTTCAGAGGCTGGCCTGGGAATCCAACTGTCCTTTTTAAGATGATCCAAGCTAAAGAACAATTTGCTTATGTACTTTTAGTATGTTTTAGATGTATTTTATCCTTTTTATATTTAGATACTCCATTATCACACTTTCAGAGTATCCTTACACATGTATTTATAGTAAAAGATATCTGTGTAATTGTATTTGCTCCTAAATATCAAATTAAGGACATAGTTTCTTAGATACGACTTTTTTTTTTTTTTTTTTTTAATTTTTTGAGATGGAGTCTCGCTCTGCCACCCAGGCTGGAGTGCAGTGGTGCAATCTCGGCTCATGACAGCCTCCACTTCCTGGGTTCAAGCAGTTCCCTGCCTCAGCCTCCCAAGTAGCTGAGAATACAGGCGCCCACCACCACATTCAGCTAATTTTTGTATTTTTAGTAGAGACAGAGTTTCACCATGTTGACTAGGCTGATCTTGAACTCCTGACCTTGTGATCCACCTGCCTTGGCTTCCCAAAGTGCTGGAATTACAGACATGAGCTGCCGCACCCAGCCTAGTAGATATGTCTTTATGAGTATCACAGCTTACTACTTTTTTCAACCCAATTCCTTCAACCACAAGTTGGAGAAATGGTTCACAAAAAACAAGAAAACCCACAGAAAGAACTATCAATCTTGTCAATCTATCATCATTTCTACGCATGAAAATTAAACAAGGGCGGATGGAACACTCTTTCCCTTTTGAACCATTGTCTGGGAAACAACATTCTCTTACTAGTAACTAAAGAAAACTTTTGAAACCTGTTCCGACTCTAATTCTCTCGCTCAAATGGGGCGGGGGCTGTTTATTCACGTCTGCAGCTGTGTACCACATGGCACTGCCCAGCAGGGAAGCAGGGGCTCTGGATTCAGAACGGATTCACAGCCTGTCCCACCACAGACCTCGAGTATGCTGTGACCTTATTTCTAAGTTTTCTCATTCACTAAAGAAGAAATAAAACCTACCTTGCAATTATTATCGACATCAAATTCATCAGTGCTATAAAGGCTCTCAGAGGTCATAGGGCACCTGGAGCCCAGGGTCCACCTACTCACTGAGAAAAAATGGACCAGTCCAACTGTGCAGAAGTAGGGAATCCATTGCCCAGCAGTAACAAACCGACACAGCGGACTACGCACAGGCAGGTAGAGGACACGTCAGGTCACGTGCAGCTCCTTCAACACTGATGCACATGGATCACGGCCATGTGAAACAAGCCCGATAAGGATCGGGGTCAGCCACAGCGGCCTGCAAATAGTTGATGTCGTATCGGGAAGCAATCTGTGTTTACTTTCCTGTGATGGTGTCTAAATATAGCTCGAAATGCCTGTTTTTCCCTGAGCATATTACAAACACTACTCTGGCTCTCTGGAAAGGGAGAACAGGAGGTGGCTGCACATGGCCAGCTACTGTGTCCTCCTCCCTTGCACACCCCCCTGGTCACGGCACACACAGAACAGTGGGCGGTGGAGGCCCGCTCCACCTCACTGCAGAGGTCCCCTGCCACATGTCAGTGGCACCACCCAGAAGCCACTGCGGAATAGACTTTAGAGCTGCTGTACATACATGCAGAAGACACAAGTAAAATCAATGATAATAATGAATACACACTCTTGGTCAGGTTCTCCTAATGGCATGAAAACCCGTTTAAGGCAAAAGTATGAGTGGGCACTACAAGTGCCTACTCCTCTCTAAGCCAGAAAGAACCAAGAATCTCAGCTACCACTGCCACCACTACTGCAGAATGTAATCACCGAAGAGAATCTCTCATGCCCGAATCTCGCATGCCCAATGACTCGGGTCCACAGTCCCTTCTCTGGTCTGGTGCGATCATCAGACTGAAGTAGGATAACATGCAACCCTCACCTAAAACCACTGTTTTTTTACTCCAACTCACAACAAAATAATGCCTGCTTAGTAAGACTTGAACTAACACGAGAACTTTGAACGTGGGTATCAACACAGAGAAGTTCCTTTTGTCAATATAGGAATATTTGCCACATTTTCCAGTGGTATAGAAAGGATCAATAAATGGGATTCTAAGATATTGGACAAGACCAGCCATGCATGGCAGCTCACACCTGTAATCCCAGCACTTTGGGAGGCTAAGGCGGGCAGATCACCTGAGGTCCAGAATTCAAGATTAGCCTGGCCAACATGGTGAAACCCCTTCTCTACTAAAAATGGAAAAATTAGCTGGGCATGGTGGCACATGTCTGTAATCCCAGCTACTTGGGATTACAAAAAAAAAATTTTTTTAAAGATATTGGACAAAGCAGAAAAGGTTGTTTTGTTATTAACTGTAAGAACCACCAAATTATTGATGCCCTCTAACTATGACATCATTACCAGTGTTGGGGGAGAGACCTCAAAACACTCATAACTGACAGAAAGATGACCTGTGTTTTAGTCTTGGTTTTGGTTTTCTTAAGCAAGGTGTACAGAACATACGTATCTGTGGAACCATGGAATCCCCAATTTAGCATACAGTGTCAGGAGTTCATGAAACTCACTCTAGAAACCCATCCAAAGACCCCTGGCTTGCCCTATCAAATAATGACAACATATGCCATGTATTTGCAAGCACTTTAATATATTCTGATGTGAATCACAGTTCTTAAGACACCCTGACAAAAGACTCAAAGATTCGGCAATGAAACTCAGAACCTTAGAACTGCAGAGAGCCTCACTGGTCCATAAGTGATGCACATACAAATCCCTTCAAAGCATCTACAATGAACGTTATGAATTTCTTCCTCCTCTGTAACAAAAGTCTGCTCCCTGTCATTTAGACCCATTGGGATTACTTTGGTCCTTTGGCAGGATATATTTGAAGATACCTATAAGCTATTTCCCTTTTCTGCAAGACATATACCTATCCTCAGCCCCCTCAACACAAAAGGTAATTTAGGGGGAGAGGATGGGAACAGTTCTTGCTTCCTTTTTCCAGAACCTGAACTGCTAAAAATACAGTGTAAAAGCTCTGTGCCCTTGGCAGCCCATCTTCACATCAGCTGTAACTAAACTCTACCTCCCCATCTCCTATCAGACACTTGGTGAGTTGACCCTAGTGAAGTCTGTCTTTATCTCTGCTTGTTTACATTTTGCTTATTTCTGATCACCATTCTACCAGGATGAGATTTTTTTCAGATTTTGATTTGGATCTAACATATTATAGTAACTATATTTTGTAGTTTGACATCAACCATCAATGCAATCAGCATACGATTTCACACAAGTCTTCATCATTGAAAACACTGAAGAGGTGGCGAAGGGACTCACCACCAAAGCTATTCATCAAGACTGGTGTAAATCCAAGCATCGGCATTCTTGAAGCAGATCTGCACAGAAACCTTTCCACTGGTCCCCAGGAAGCCTCTCATTCCCTTACTACTCTTTTTTTTTTTTTCCAGACAGAGTCGCACTCTGATGCCCAGACTGGAGTGCAATGGCATAATCTCGGCTCACTGCAACCCCTGCCTACCTGGTTCACGGGATTCTCCTGCCTCAGACTCCCGAGTAGGCGGGACTACAGGCACATGCCACCACACCCAGCTAATTATTGTATTTTTAGTAGAGGCGGGGTCTCACCATGTTGGCCAGGATGGTCTTGATCTCTTGACCTTGCGATCCGCCTGCTTCAGCCTCCCAAAGTGTTGGGATTACAGGCGTGAGCCCCGTAAGGCGTGAGGCGCCCGGCCCCCCTTACTACTCTTGCTATGCAAGTACAATTCCATATTTGCTTTTAGGTGACCACCTCTTGACCACTTCAAATTCCTACATCTTTTCTAATATATAAAATAAATCCAAAGTTTAGAAACATAATTTGAGGAAGAGGTTGTAAGAGGGAAAAGGCAGGGGGTTTCAAGTCAGACAAACCTGGGTGAGAATCCTGTCTGTGCTGCTTATTCACCATGTAGACTTAGGCTATTCAACAGAATACGGTCACACTCACCTTGCAGTGCTACTGGTGGATTAAATGAGATACCGCAGGATTTATCACATAAAAAGAGCTTCCTCAATCTCTTTTCTTTTACTCTTAACAGATTAGCAAATTGAAGTCAGAGCAAAACCACTCAATAATTTAATCTACATATTTTCCTGTCTCCCCAGCAGACTGTTAATTAAAGGTGAAAATTTTGTCTTATTCATCTTTGCATACCTGGCACTTAGCACAATGCCTGGCATAATTAACATTTGTTAACTAGAGAAGGAATGTTAGCAGGGCTCTAAGGAGAATGTAGTCCTTTTGATAACCACTAGATAGAAGAGGAAAAGACCCTTCTAGACTCCCCTCCCTGCAGACAAAGCTTCACTTTTCACAAGTTCACCCAGACCATGGCTTCCATCACCTCCCCAAGCTTCTGTCTCCCAAATGCTGCTTCCTTGGCTGCTTCCTCCAGTCCCCAGAACTCTGTGTGCAACATTCCTGCCCAGACGTCTGCAGGTTCCTCTCCGTCTCTCTCTGATCTCAAAGACACCCCATCCACCCAGATGTCCAAGTCAGAATCCAGAACATGTCCTGACCCCTCCACTCCTCTCCACCACAGCCAGCTCCTCACCAAGTCAGTCTGTGGGACCCATCATCACTGCCAGCAGGAAATCTCCCCTCCAACCAAACTGGCCTCCACGGGGCTCTAGAAAAATCACATACATTCCACCAGTGGGCCTTCCAACATGCCATCCTTTGACCTAGAACAAGTTCTGCTCTCCTCCTGCAGAACTCAGCTCCAACATCATGTCCTTAGAGAAGCCCTCCCTGAACTCCAGGCCCGGGCAGGATCCTCTCAGAGTAACAGTGGGCTCATCTGCTTGACTACTTGATCAATGTCTGTCCCCCAACCCAGACTGTCCCAGAGGAAAGGAGTTCAGAAGAGGAGGAAAACAAGTATCAGGCCCATTTACAGTATCATCCAGGTGCTACAGAATAAGTCCAGAAAGGCAGACTATTTCGGTTCTCTAGTTTTTGCCTGATTTTTATAAATTGGCAAAACCTATTATTAGCTTCATCTCCAAAGCTCAGCAGCTTGTAAGTCAGTTCAATGAGTAAATTACTGTCTGACTAAACTACACTTTTAAATTTAATTTAGCAAATGTAATAATTTTATAAACAAACCAAAGGCTATATATATTGTTTATTTTGAAAGTAAATTAGATCTAAAAGTAATACCAAAATAGTAACAGAATATATTTCCATTTTCCCTTACATTTGTTACTCTTGCTACCCAAAAAAAAACTGTAAAGCTCTTATCATGGCTTTAACACTTTCTAACATTTACATCTCTAAGTATGCAGTATCGTTCAGATCCATGTGGCACTACTGACAGCCTAGCAGCAAGCACTTATTTAAGAAGGAGAAATAATATAGTATATTTCCCATACAAATATACATTCAAATTGAGAAAGCAGCTTTTGTGAGAATATGTCAAACTTTAACCCCACTGCTGTCGCTATGTGATGCTGAAGAAAGCTTCCACTTAACTTCTTTGCACCTCAGTTAATGCATCTGTACACAGAGAACACTACCACTATCATTTCAGAGCTGTTACAGAATCGGAGATAATATATTCAAGTTCTTGGCACATATCAGGCTTTTTTTTTTTTAAAGGACAGATTTTTTATCATATTATATGAAAGTATAATTCCAGAATAATCAATAAGGCATGGAAACCCTCTACTCCTCCATCAATGAGCAGAAGATAGACATTGCTAATCAATCCTAGTATTATTTTTCCTAAGTCCAGTAAGCCTCAGAATCTTTTATCCTGCGGAGTTGCGGGCAGTATCAGAATCTGCGCACAGAAAAAGCAATTTGCCATCTACAGTAAAATGGAAAGAGCACAAAAGTATGTCATCAGGTACACCTGGGTTCACATCTCTCTCCTACTTCTGACTGGTGATGAAATGTTAAGTAAATTCAAGTGCTCTCAGCCTCAATTTCCCCACCTCTCAAGTAAAAATAATACCTCCCTCAGACAAACCATTCAAAAGATGTTTAGTGTGATTTGCAAAAATAAACAATTCCAAACACGCATCAGGGCACTACCCAAAGACGGAGAAGTTACGAATTTCCCCAGCAATCCCTGTGGTTGCTACCATGCCTCTTTCAAACTATTTTATCAATATTTTAAATAAGCAACTTTTAAAATGCCAATTAAAATATGAAAATTACCTATCTTGGGACAAACGGTGCTTGCTGTACTGATACACAGGTCACTTGTCCCTGGTTTTAAAATACTTCTCAGAGATATGGTACTATTAGATATCTACTTTGTCAGAGCTGTAACTAAGTGAAAGCATATATCTTGTAATGTGATTAATTATAGAAAAACAAGTTAACATGACTAATATATAGTCAAATCTCAGGTTCTTAAAAAAAAATAGGGCAAGTAAATTCAACATATAAAGGTCAGACAGACTGTTACACTGGAGGAAAGAAGACTGCTATATAGATGCTATTAGGACAATAGACAAAATTAGAACACAGATAAGAGGTTAAAGTATGTCATCAAATTTAAGTTTCCTGACAGTGATAAATACACTGAAGTGTCTGTAAGAGCATATGCTTGCTCTTACATTCTGAAATACATTCTGAAGTATCCAGGAGTAAAGAAGCAGGATGTATACAACCTACTCTCAAAAATGATTCTAAGAAAGTGCATTACAGTACAAATAAAATAAATGATGGATGAACAGATGGATGGATGGAGGAATAGACAGAATAATAAAGTAAATGTAGCAAAATGTAGAAATGTCAGGCATCAAAATAAAAGATACACAGGATTTCTCTACTCTATTCTTGCAACTTTGCTGTAAATTTCAAAATAAAACTTTTGTGGGCCTTTTTTGTTTTGTTTTGTTTTATTTTTTTAAGACAGGGTCTTTGCTCTGTCACACAGGCTAGAGTGCAGTGGTGCACTCACGGCTCACGGCAGCCTCAAATTCCTGGGCTCAACCCATCCTCCCACCTCAGCCTCCCACATAGCTGGGACCACAAGCATGTGCCAGCATACCTGGCTAATTTTTTATTTTTTGTAGAGATGGGGTCTTGCTATGTTGCCCAGACTGGTCTCAAACTCCCGGGCTCAAGTGATCTTCCTGCCTCGGCCTCCCAAAGAGCTGGGATTATGGGTGTGAGTCACAACATCTGCCTGCTTTTTTGATACGGATTCTTAGTCTGCAGCCCAGGCTGGAATGTAGAGATGCAATCTCAGATCACCGCAACCTCCACCTTCTGAGTTCATGCGATTCTCCTGCCTTGGCCTTCCAAGTAGCTGGGACTACAGGCGTGTGCCACCATGCCTGGCTAATTTTTTTTTTTTTTTAATTAAAGGGCAAATGGGATGAAGTTTCTTACTGTTCTAACATGCTATAATTCTAGAATCATCCCTTCTCCCTCCCTGCCAGACCTTCCAATTATACTGTGGTACCAAAAAGAATGTGGGCTGTTAGAGAGAATTCTCTTTTCTGTTGCATTCTTTGATCAGAAGTCTTATCAATAAACTTCCTTGAAGATCAAAAGTAAGAATGAGGACATAAAGGGGTCTGAAAAATCCAAAATTCAGAAGGACAAATTCAAATAAAGAAGGTTCGCCTCAAGGTGATGTGCCCTGCTACCCATCACGCCTCGGCCTGCCCTGTACCTGAACAGCCCTCTCGTACACCGCGAAGCCGGTAGCTGAGCACCCAACTCCAAGCCCATTTCTAGAACACTCCGTACCCAGCACAGCTGTGGTTGTCCTGTAAATGGAAGAAGCACTTGCAGACCCGTCAAGTACCAGTGGATTCAGTGGCTGGCCTTCACAAGGCTCCTCCGTTCACCACAGCTCTATTACTTAACAGAAACTAAACTTACCACAATCAACTACAACTCTCTGTTTATATCCGTCTCCTTTATCACACAGCAAGTTCTTTAAGGTCAGATATGTTGTTTTCCTCTTTCTAATTTTTCTTATAACCCCAACTTCTGACACCCAATGGACAACTATTATTCCTATTATTTCTTTAATAAAAAGCCAAAATTAAAGAAACCCAAGTGCGTCTTTTAAGCCCTACCTCACTCCAAGCCATCCTTTTCTAAATAATAGTGTACTTCTTCCTAGCTGTGTCAAGTGTTAAGTAATAAAATTATGAAAATCGATACACTGTCTGACTTATAACAGGCACTTAATAAATGTTTGGTATGTGAATGTTGGAAAGACATCCATCTCCTATTCCAAGTGACTTCTGAATTCAAATTATAATGCTCCAAACATAGGCATTTTTTAATTTCTATGCTCTAACGTCACTATTGCTAGTATTTTAAAAATAGTATTTCCCAAATTATATTAATAGATGTTACTGTAATTAAGAATGGAAAATTGTATAAAGCACATGCCATTCTTTAAGACCAATAACATATATTAACATGAGAAAAATCTAAAATGTACTATATAGAAAAAACATATTTAACTTGGTTGAACTCAAACCTGTCTGGGCAACGTTTTTTAAAACAGAACACAGGAAAACATGAACTGGGATAATATAAAAATATAAAAATGCATTCCATTTTCATTGTTATCTAGGCCTACTTATGTAAACAGGCAAACTCTCAATAATATAAAGATAGATAGACAGAGCTTACCTGTAGATTTTTATAGATTGCTGGATGGTAACAGCAACAACAAGGTATGCTGGTCATATATCCTTAGCATTTATAGAAAATTATTAATCAAGTCCCACCTGAAACAATTTGTTAAATTGATTTTAATCACTGGGCCTCTCATGTGAAGCTTTGTATAATCAGCATTTCATTTACAAAATTAATTGCCTGATTGATTCTCAGGAGGCAGTTGCTGTCATTACCCTGCTGTCATAACTTCTGAGTAGGGTGTCACAACATGAAATTCTGACAGTATGAAGAGCACTGCTATTTTAAAAACGGGTGTGGGGAAAAAGGGAGATGGAAAGAAAACTAAAGGAGTTACATTATCCTTTTTAGCCTAAAAGAAAGTTGAAAGTGATTCATGCTGATTACACTTAATATCAATACCCTTCTGCTAAATGAATTAATATACAAATCTAGCATCAGGGCATGAAGGATTTTTACTATCTCAAAATGATAACTACACTGTATATGGACAAGCTCAACAATAGAAAATTATAGTCTACATTACAAAATACATGTCTTAATATGTCTACGTCAAGATAAAAGCAGCACTTGTACTGGCATATTATTTGTTTACTGCCAGCCATTTCAATTTCCCATACTCTTTCTTTCTTATGCTTTCTAATAAAAAAAAGGTATAACTAGAAATTTTTGGAATTTACAATGCAGATACAAAATATATCCACTTTATGTATACTCAAAACACATAAGCACATGGTCTTTTAACAATATTTGAATATTATTGTTATATACATACTTTTATAACGAATTTCTTGCTCACTAGTTAATCTTTAACAGTCTATTGATTATTGATGGGTCTTCACCTAAAAATCTGACATCACAATCAATTACAGAGAGATTAGGCTAAAAAGCATTTTTGCAGTTAAAAAAATGCATACATGAGTAGGACAGAACAAGGGAG